CTTGTCCCAAATTCTCATTCTGAGCCTCCTAGTTACAATCCCAGGAAAATACTCTCAAGCAGTACAGACATTTCTGCAAACCAGAGCAGGCTCTCTGCCCTTCTTGGCAATGCTCTAAGTGAGATGCTCGAGTGAACTCCTAGAGCATTAAGACTTCATTATTGGCACTAAACATACACAGTATTCTGTCCTAATATGCTATAAACTAATAGCTGTCAATTAAACAAATACTCTGATGTCTTCCTTTTAAAGTATTCTTTTGCTTTGTCACTAATTTGCACAATACGATAATTTCATATTACTTTCCTAGCTCTGAGCATGAATTAGCTCCATGCTACTGCCACTGGCTCTGACCAGCCATTTTATCTTTTTCCAGCTCATAACCCAGGCCTGTAGAATGGGTGGCACGTAAATTCATGCTGATTAACATAATTTCAAACAAATTGCTCAAATAAATTGAGTTGCATCTTTTTAAGATGGCCCTTTCCTTGGGGAAACTTGGGAAATACTTCCTCTGGAAAATACTCTCTTTAAAGCAGAGCACGTTTGGCAATGGCGCTCTTCAGATGTCAGGTATCATCTAAAGTAATGCAGAACAGATTTCTTCTAAAAATATGCCACTTAAAAAAATGATGCCACAAATGCTGATGGCTGCGCTGAAAATGTACCAAAGCAAAACTGCACAAAGAAATGGGGGAACAGATTCCATCTGCTAATGGCCACACTCACATTTCAGAAGGGCTTGGGAATGTGAAGCTTTATGGAGCGTGGCTCTGAGGGCAGAACTCAACTGGCACACTGGAAAAGTAATCCTATGATTAAAAAGAAGCAACCGAAAAACGGAGTAGTATTGCATCACATGTCATTTCAGATGTACTCCAAAAGAGGTATCAGCCTAAAAAAAGAATATATTAAAGAAATTAAGTCAAATAATTAGCAGGGAATCTTGGCACCCTAATTTGGCGAGATGCTGCACTCAAACATTCTCCTTCTGTGTTGGTTGTCATTAAATGTTACCGTGAAGGTGTAAGAATACAAGAAATGTATCAACAGCAGAACTACAGAAATTTATCTTAGCAGAAAATTGTTCCTATGCAACTGAATAATTAGTTTCACTGAAGTCACTCAGCCTGCTACAACTGTCTGCATCCCCTTTTGTCTACTGCTTGTTAAATTCCTATTCAGCCATCGCTCAGATAGGATTGCATAATAAACAAAATAATTAGTTTCCAAACTCATAATACATGAACATATTTCCTGGAATATGTTTTGGGGTTTTTTTTATAACTATTTTGCATTCTCTCACAATTGAGAACTCAGCTCACATGTACAGAAGAATTTGAAGATGGTATAATTTACCATGAATCCAACAGATGAAACTAAATCCATGCTCATTTAGGAGAGCTAAGTGAACACATTTTGATGCATGTACCAGAATGTCTGCACCAGCCAAGTCAGCGCACACATATTGACATGCATCACAGACAAATCACGCATGGATGGAGCATGTTCCCTTTGGATTTCTTAAATAAGGATCACTACTGAACTGGGTAACTCCCTTCACCAGGGCAGTACCGACAGCCAAGACACTGCAGGGCAGACTGGCACCCTCTGCTCCACACCAGCGCTGGCATATACTGCTAGCACTGAAAATGAGACATATATCAGCTTGGGCCTTTAAAATAATCTCATTAAAACAGCACAATCTCTTTAGCCTTAAAGTACATGTGGACCCCAGCAGCACAGGACTAACATTACAATCGGTGTCACCAAACAGATCCCGAAACTTGCAGGAAGTTAATTTGAATACCTTTTCTTTTTCCTGCTACAAGACTCAAAATCCTTGTGACATGTGAAGTGACTGTTTAATTTTCCAATGGTGATGAAGACACAATAACAAGAGGTGAACTCACAACTTGGAAGCATTCATCTCCAAGCACAGGCGAACCACATGCTAACCGCAGGGAGGAGGAGCATGGGAGGGAGTTTCTGGGTGCTGGGTCCTGTGCGGGACAACACTGGGCACCGGCAGAAGCAAACAGGCTGCATACTTACCTCTGGCCTTCAGCATAGGCTAGAACGTTAGATTGCACAGAGGAGTTCAGCTTAAGACACTGGCACCATCAGTCTGCAACGACTCACAGCTACAGGCACAATGTAGGAAGCAGCTGATTACGAACTCGGGGCGGCTGTTTCCCAAGCCTGGGTCCCTACTGGCAAAGCTGAGAGGTGTTCTGTCAGCTCAGCTGGTAGAGAGAGCTGCCCCGAGTGAGTAATGGTCCCTGTGCTGCCCTGTGTGACAGGGTGCAAGGTCTATATCTCCGCTTGAGGCACCTTCACCACCCCGTCCCCTGCAATCCCCCACAGCTGTCACCTCTTTTAAGGGAAAAGAAGAAAAGTTCTGATGCGACTCCTCTGAAATGCTCTATAAATGAAGCCATGTTCATAGAAACAATTAACCAGAGAGATGGGATGAGATGACAAGGGCAACTCAGGGTTCTGATGGGAGGAATGAGAGGAGAAGAGAGAGGCCAGCAAGTGTCGGTGCGCCTGGAGGGCAGCACTGGTGCTCACCCTCCCAGAGGGGCAGCAGGGCTCCTGTGGGGCTGGGGACGCCTGAACTGGGCATTAGTGGCTGTCGATGTGGGGTGTGTGTGCCCAGAAAGACACCTACCTACCTGCTGCAACACCGTGGCATCACAGCCTGTGGCATTCGGTGCCTACAAAACACTACCTTGAAAGAAAACCACCTTCATAACGAAAAACCCCCGATTTACAACATATCTGGAAACAACAGCTAACCCCTTCCCTGCCTCCCCTGGTCTAGTCTTCGGTGGGAGGTTTTGTCTGATTCCCATTCTCCTCCCTATGGACTTCTGCTGGCTGAGCCATGCCCCCGAGAGGCAATGTCTGCAGCTTAAACAAACAAGCAGTCCTTCACCACAGTGCTATGAATAACTGCAGAAAGACAGTGCTTTGTGATTTATGGATTAAACCAGCAAGGTGCATGTCGTTGTGTTTGCTCCCCTTCCCTCTTCACTGGGTATCAAACCATTCTACCACAGCAGACCTGACTCCACTCCCTTAACGTTACCTGACCAGAGCCAAGGGATGGCGCTGCTCTTTGAAAAAGGTCTTTCAGCACAAGTAAAAAATAGAATGGCCCTGCCCTAATTGTGACCATTTTTTAAATCCTTTTTAGTTTCCTGAGGGCTATAAGCATTAGTTGGCTGGGTTTAATTCAATGAACTCAAAGCAATGGAGTTCATTGAAGCTGGTTTGTACAAAGGGTTTTCTTTCACAGAGGCAGCATGAGACAATGAGGTGCTGGATCCCAGGAGAATGTTAAACGTTTAATACACTGGCAAGTATAACATTATATCTAAATGTTATGCGAAGGATGAGCAGCAGAGCTAAGAAGCATAAAAAGGCTCGTGCTCATCTTCAGGCTGCTGCTGAGCACTGCAGACCTCCAGTTATTGAACAAATCTGAGTTTGAGAGCTTCTCCTTCCTTTATGATTACACAGTGGCTTGTGCTAGCATCAGAGATGAGTAGCTGAGCAATCTGCTACGTAGCCAACTGTAAGCAACTCATTAATAGAATGCAGCAGTAATTTGCAGTAATTGTCCAAAACTGCAGTTTACTGAAAATACTGTTATTATTGATTTTGGACCAAAGCTGGAGCATTCTTATAAGAGAGATTAGGAGTTACTGCTCCTAAGGAACTGGTTTTACTAGCTGTAGGAGATTGTCACTATGAAAATGAGTCTGAGTACTTTTCAGGATAAGTGTATTTGAAATTAATTTATTTGCAATTCCTGTACCCAAGGTGACCAGTTGTACCCAGCCTGCTCTAGCTACAGCTTGTCCTTACCAGGTTAAAGACTGTAGCAATTGCCAGTGTTACAGCGTAAGGTTGGCAATATGAAAGCACACTGGGTTTGCAATATAGGAGCTCATTCAAGCAACTTTGAGAGTCTCACTACCCTGCAGGCTGCCTGGAAGACTCGGGGAAGCCTCAGCTCAGCAGAAGGCAGTGACAGCTTTGCCACTGCTGTCACTGGAGCACGGATTTTAATCCACGTCACAGCAAACACAGATGCAGTGCTCCTGCACAGGGGTGTATGGAAGTCTGGTCAGTGGCGTACAAAAGGTGACATTTGAATAGTCTAAGCAAAACTACCACAGCCTCTTTCCTTAAGATTCATTTGTAGTTTAGTGCATCAACACACTTCCCTGCTGCAAGCAACATACCTCCTCTCAGCTTCACCTGTTGCAAGCTCTAGCTCCCTACACATTATGATTACTGCTATTATTTTACCATTAACAGGTGACTACCATCTCTGTGTAATATCTTTGCTATGACTGTCTTCTCTCTCAACCCCACACTGCGATTAGATGAGCAGCCTCCTTTTCCTCCCCTGAGCTACAGACCCCCCCCCACATCAATTCTCCAGAGATGAGGCTTCTTCCCAGGCACTCTGGTGGCACCGGTCCAGCCCAGCAAAGCAGCATGTGCTGGTACTGCCTTGCTTGACCCCTCCCTAACAAAGGAGAAGGAAGCCCTCACCTCCATGCATGTGCTGGCAAAAAAAGCCTCTCAAAAACCACTCTGCATCACAGCTAAAGCGTGGAGAAGGACTGAAGCCTTGTCCTCAGGCATTAGTACGGCGGACAGATGTGACCAGTTCCTTGTACAGTTGCAAGTACTGATTTGCTCTGTGTAGGTCCCACCAAGACTAGACTTTCTATCTGTTAGTTAAATAAGGTTTCCAAGCTTGACCAAGCCTGCTGACTACATTAAATAAGACCATTTCTTTAAAAGAGCTACTGGCCGAGCAAATGGCTTTTTTTCCCCACCAGAATTATTCAAATGATTTTAATGTACGTTCTTTTTTGTGCTTTTTGGTTTGTTTTTTTTTTTCTTGAGAAGTAAAATAACAGCCTTGCCGATTACTCTTTGCTAAGGTACCCGATTGTGGTGACATTGAGGCTGACCTTGGAGTCACCTCCCCCGCTGCCGCACTCTCCTTTGTCGTACCACCATTTGTTTTTCAATTTGTCCAAGAGGCCTTGCTCATTCAGTTTTAATACTGCCAGGTTAACAGCATTTCTTGAAACGATAAAACATAGCTTGTAAGAAAAAATGCACAAATGCTTAGGAAATCGTAACGTATAAAAAAAGGAGCACAAGAGGACAAATTGGCTAAAATTTCACAGAACGTGGAGCTATCAAAATGTCTGTACAGCAAATACAGGGTTAAATATTGGAAGGTGGCATGGAGGATAACATCTGCTCAAAACTGAAGTGTGCGGGATGGGGAAACCGTCTTTGAGAAAAAAAGTAACAAGAACACCACATCATGCAGTTAACATTCGTCACATATGGCAGGTTAACTCGGCTTTTACCATTTAAATTGAAAAAGCCATTGAACTGTAAAATTAAAACAGCAACAAACAATCAGAAAGGACAACACGAAGAGAACACTAAAATAAAACGGATGCATTAAATAAACGAAACCGTAATTTACCGTCTTATTTAACTCCATGGAATATTGAAGATTTTAAACTTTAAAGTTACCTCAAAATCCACAAGAAAGAAAATGACAACACAATACATCAGGGTAGGTGGAATACTATAACAACATGGATATTGTTATATTATTCCACCCACCTTAATGCTGAGCCTTTGGGGGTTGCTACACCATAGCCCTTGGAATCCAGGTTGCCGCCAACTTTCATGGTGTCGCAGGGCTTGCGCTGCTCGATGTACTCATTCATCGTGGACTCCAGCAGGAAGGCAAACTTCCCCTTCGACTTCCGCACCCTCGCCACCCCATCCGCCGTCGTCTTGGTGAACACGGAAGGCTCGGCTGACTTCATGTACGACCACATCTTCTCATAGACGGCTATTTTTGACCTCTGGGAGAGATAAAAGGAGGGAAATGAAGAGCCATGTTGGCAAGGCCACAAGGCTGAGCTCCTTGGGCTTACCTCAGCAGTATAATTAACACCCTATACCTGACTGGCAAATAAAGAACTCAAGGTAGCTTGGAGAGAGACACACTGCCCCTGAACAATGACCAAGCCATAAAATGGTTGGGGAGGGGAAAACATCTCTCAAACATTTATTCTACTAATTGCCGTGTAACTGGCAGTCCGAATTAGAAACAGCGTGTGCCCATCCCAGCGCCTCGGTTCCTGCTCTGTGGTGGGTTTATCCACCTGCATGCTGCTCTGCTACTGAACCAGAGGGAGCATGTTAAATCCTAGCTCATTCATCATGGCCAACAGATGCTGAAGAAGCCTCTCCTCTTCACAGCAATCCTCAGCTTTGGTTTTTGTGCTAACCTGCAGCTAGGAAACACTGACATTTGCTTATCACAAGTTCCCAGCAAGGCAGGAATCCTCTTTTCACAGCAGCAATGGCAGGTCTATGATATAGAAGACCAGGACAGCTCTTGTGGCTTCTGAAAGTGATGCTCATGTAACAGATATAAACAGTAATTACAAAAGCTTTTATGAACCAATAATAAAACTTTCAATATTCAGTTTCACATTTTCCTAGGACAACAAACACAAATATTAGTAATAAGCTGAAAGAAACTTCCTTTTAACTGCTTGCATGTCATGTAGATATATGTGTTTTCTCCCATTTTCCTCATTTTGATACTGAGCCAATCCTAACAGCCTCTAGCTCAGCATACAGGTTTTGTAAACCTGGCAATTTTGAGAAATGTGTTACTTCCCCTTCTCTCTCTTCCCCACCAGTAACATTTAAACCGCCCTCAGCTCTTAAAGCCACCTCCAGACTCTTAAGCATTCATATCCTGGACTACTGGTTAAACTTTCCTGCTTGGTCGACAGAAGGCTGTAATGCCAACTGTCTAAAGTCTAGAAATCCAAAGGATTTATGTAAGGCTTTTGGTCCAAGCTGTGGGTATCTGGAATTTATGCCTCCTACTCCTTGCCAGTTTCCTGTCCACAGCTTTCCTTGCAGAATGGGAATGAGGCAGGCAGTAGCTAAATCTAGTTTGCATTTAACGAACTAGTGGCAGAAGACTGTTAATGTCCATCAGCTTGATGATTGAGACATGTTTCCTCCTTATTCTGGACAATTTAATGTGTTTTGAATAATGCAATGCTTAACAACCAGCCTCCAAACATTGCACAGGGAGTTAAGCCCTGCCTTCACCCTTCTTCAGATTAACGTGCTCAGCTAGTGTCGCTATGATGGATGGAGAGGACCACAGAGGGCAAGATTTTATTTTAATTATCCTTCTTGATGAGCTGAAAAACAAGTGAAAATGCAAAGTAATTAAAATCAGCCCAATCAACAACAGGAAATCAGAGACACAACAATACAACACAGCTTCATTAGGAGCTGGCTGGGTGGTGGGTGTGAAAAACAGGCAAGAGGGATTTCAACTGAGAGCATTGTTTGGTTAAAGATGGGCAGTATGGCTGTGTTTGTCCAGCATCAGGAGTGAAGAGGTGGTGGGAGAAAGTGGGATATAAATGGGGCCTGAAACGGTCCTTACACAGGTAAAACCTCCTGATGGGGAGTGTGGTTGCTCACTGCCTCCACCAGCCTCAGACCATTGGGTTTGGACAGGGGCAGCTCTGAGCCCCAAGGTACAAATACAGCTTTACTCTCTCTCTCAGCAGGCTAAAGTGGTTAGCATTCAAAAACTGTGCATGCACTACCTATGCTTGTTTTCCTCTGCAGACTATGCCTTTTAATTCCACAGACAAACCAGAATTTCTTTTCCTTTTCATCTCCTAACTCATACCGAAATGTCTTTAGCAAATTCTTTCATACTCTTTCCAGCTGGCCAGACTACCTAAAAGCAATTGCCAATACAACTGTGCATTGTTAATAATAACAGTTATCTGATGAGTGCCAACAGCATGCTCAGGGCTGCAAATGGTCCAAACAAAGCACATTCCATGCTTCAAGGGCAAAGGGTGAATATCATCATTCATGCTTCAAAAACCCAAATTCCACAACCCAAAACCAGATCTCTTTTCAGCTTTAACAAATAGCCTCAGCTTTATAGTTTGCTCCCTTCATTTAACTCTTTTGGATGATGTGGTTAATAAAACTTAGTACATTTCTATGTGATCATTGCCTACCTCACCTTCTGCCAAATAGGATTTTCATAGTATCTTGTTATTATCAAATTAACTAAATGAGCATAGTCATCTGATCTAGTAGATGTAGACAAAAATGCAACCTAGAAAGGAACACAGCAGGTATTGACTGGGAAAGGTTAAAATAAGATGCACGGGGCACATGTTGTTTTTGGAGCAGCCAGAGCCTGGCTGGAGGAGTCTGGGTGAGGATCCATGCGTGTCCCTGGAGTGGAGATGAGGGAGGCGATGGGCTCCGGCCGGTAAGTCCTGCTTGGTTAGTGCTGCTCTCTGCAGCATTAACTCCATGAGGCCAAAATAATGATTTATGATGAAGCTTCTTAGAGAAAGGGACAGGGCCACCAGAGGAGCTGTGAAACCTTCAACCCCCCTCAGAAATGCCATATTTTACACCTGCAAAATGACATAAAACAGCCAGTTGACTAAAGCTGGTCAAAGATGCAATAAGAAGAAATGAAAGACAATATTTGGAGTAAATATTTTCCTTTTTCCAATTTTCCAATTGCCTCCAAAGAAAAAACAGACCAAAAAACCCAGAAGCTCCTAAAAGACTTTCAGAAAAGGAAAATTTCTTTTCTTTCTAACTATAAAGCTGCAAAGAACATTATCACCCATCTGTCCTCCTCTGCAGATGTTCCTGCCTGTGTCCCCCCCAGGAGTCTGACACCTGTGAGAGGGGCCAGACAGGAGCAACCAGAGAGAAAAGATTTACACTCTGAAATAAGGTAGGGTCTGACAGATCTGCTAGAGTTCAGTGGCAGTAAAACATTTTCCCTCATTAAAGTGTTACTTCTAAAGAGATATTTAGAAAAAAAGCTTAAGAGCAAAGATTTAAACCAATTCAAAGCCCATAACTGCAGTAACTCCCTATGCTCTGCAACTCCTATTTCATTTCTTTGATATTGCTCTCAAGAAGTCTGCCACACACATTTCCTCAGGATTTCAAGGGGATATTATCTTTATTTTTTTTCTTAAAAGCAACATTTTTAGTGTTTCATCCAGGCCCTGGGACACATTAGAGCGTCATTACCGCAGCCTTACTGCAGGTATAAATAGAGCTGGCCTTTGCTTTGTCAATAGTCCTGCCTTTTTCTTTATTTGGAGATGTTTATGCAGAAGTACGAGCCACCCACACCTCAGCACCTCCTCATGCTGAGGAGTCACTTCATATGGCCTGTTACTAACCAGTACCTCAATGCACGTTGCTTCTGGGTAGCAGTGCGTTCAGTTTAAAAGAGGGTGCCAATTCAATTAGGACACAATTTTAACACTGTCTGTCATTCCCATTCTCCTACTTTTGATGTGTGGATGGCTCCAGTACTGAAATGAGAAACCAAACAAACCCACAATGTGCTGCAGCACCAAGAAGCGCAGCTGGACGGGGCGGGTGTGCAGCAGGCAGCGGGAGGGAGGCAGCTTTACCTCTCAGTTGCGGTTAGTTCTTCAATCCATTCAACAATAAAACCCCAGTGACCAGGCTCCAGCTGAGAGGGACCAGATGCCTTGGGTTCACTTTTGCACATCCCAAACTGCCTACAGATATATTGCACATCTTGGATGATTCCTTGACATTGGTTAAATCCAGCTCTAAAATATCTCTGTGACTGAAGCCTTCTCCCACTGACCGAATTACCTTTCCCCCTCTGCAGGCAACTGTCTCACACTTCTGTGTAAAGTGACACTGTGTCACCTCCTCCATTACCGGGTAGCAGAGAAGCTATCCTATTACTTGAAAGAAACAGCATTTTTTCCTCTCTAGTTAAAGTATGTTACAGGGATGCCCTTTGCCTGTTTTAGAATGTTTTGCCATCTCTGCCACCTCCTCTGCAACCTGTAGCTCTTCTTCAAAATGCCCATCTCATGCACTCTGCTGGGATATTTTATTAAAGTGCCAAAACCGCTCCTTTGTTTCTTACAACAGGCACCAGGAAATTAATTCTCAGCAGTCAAGCTCAAAATGTTCTCTTATAGGTGACTGTTGTTGATCAGGCAGACATAAGCCAAACCCACCCAAACCAATTTTACTTTTAAAATTAATAATTTATGTATTGCCCCTTTACTCTGTATGTTTAAAATTTTAGATTACACTGACCTTAATTTTCGTACCTCTGTCTTCAAAACTAAGAGACTGATAAACAAGCTTAAAGAAAAGAGGGAGGAGAGAAAGAGATGAAGTCTCCCCAGTAATCCAAGGAGTGGGCTATAAGGAAGAACAGGAGAACGTTTTGTGCTGAGCGGTATCAGTGTAAGAAATGGAATGGGTGTACTGGAGAGGAAGAAGACCCAGAAGCAAGCCAGTTACAGCTGCCTGGTCTTACTGCTGGATCCAGGCTACATAAACTTTAATATACTTTGGAGTTGGCCAGCATACACTGAAATGCAGTAAATCCAACAGGGAAGTGCAGCAAATGGGAGTGAGACAAGTGCAAAGTGGATGGAGCACCCTGACCACAGCGTGCACACAAAGGTAGGCAGAGACATCAATAAAGGGCCTAAAGCAGCAAAGCTAACACATTCCTCTGCTACACCAGCCCTGTGACCACTTTACAGCTCTTTAACTAAGGAAATTTATAGCCTTAAGTCAGACAGATGTTGCTGATACAAAACACAAAGGTCTTTACTAAAAACAGTGCAGATATTTAATCTGCATAATACATGCTGCCTTTATATACATGCACACCTCACTGATGTGAACTTGGGTAGTTAAGTGTGAACTTCAGCTTCATTATCACTCATTACTTTTCTTCCATGTGTGCAATTAGCTCTCC